CACACACACACACACACTCACTCACTCACTCACTCACACACTCACACACTTACACACTCGCCATTTGTGTGAACAACAGACTAGCAGCAGACCCGCACCACAACAGCAGCCAGCGAGGCCCAAGCGTAACTTAGCTTCAGCTGGTTAACGTCAACACACAAAAGGCGTATGCAATAATAGAGATACATGTATCATTTGCTAAAACTAAGAATCACCATTGCGTCCTTTTTCGCTATCGACGAATTATTACATTATACAGCAGTATCCATTACTTCAGTCGGTAACGTCAACAGTAGTTAGCAGTAACACGTAAACTAACAAGAGCAAGTTGAGTAGTGGCAAACTTACCTCGCAATAAGCGGACGTACTCGAACACAAACTTTAACAGCGGACTCTTCTGTCATTTTTAAAGTTCAGTCGCCGCATTAAAATGGTCATACATTAATTACTTTATAATAAACTAGATATGCGGCTATGCCTATGAGACTGTTGCTAAGCGCACCAGAAGTGACTTTCTCCGCCGTTTTTCAAATCCCGCCCGTTGCATTTGATTGGTTAACGTCTTCTTCTTCTTTGGTTTAGATAAGACACACTAGATGCGTCAATAGCGCATTCCTGGCCTTTGCTGTTCTTCGTCTGGTGGTTATTGGGGGTTGGCAAACCAGGTTTTCGGTGCATCACCGCCACCCTCTGGACTGAAGTGTGGAGCAGTAAATTGGCAGCAAACAAAACAAGACTAAACTACAATTAAATCATTTTCTTAAGTCCTGTCTCTCTTAAGTAGTTAATTAAAAAATGATGTATATTCTTCTTTATAATGTGATATTTTGCTTTTCATCCTTTTATCCTGATATTAATATCCTTCTTGTTCATTATATGTGTTACATTCTATCAATACATGAGTGACAGTTACAGTTGTTTTCAATGTCGAATGCAATCACAATCTCATTGGCCTGGACACTTTCCTCTGCCTCCTTTCCTTGTTTTAACTGTGGAGGAAACCATAGTGTGGCATATGGAGGATGTGAAGTACTGAAGAGGGAGGTAGAGATTCAACAGGTCAGGGTACAAAACAAAATCACATATGCAAATGCTGTCAAGATGGTGATCCAGAGAAGAGGTAGAGAGTCAAGATACACAAATGAAGAATAACATATTAAATAACAAGGACAACCAAAAGAGGACAAAGCGTGAGTTGATTTAAAGAAACTAGTCACTTTTATAGCAGGAGTCATAAAAATGCTACAATGGAAACTAAATCAAAAAACAGAAAGAATACAAATAATAGTAAAAGCAGCTGCACATCATCTGAACATTAATGAACTATAGCTTGAGAGGAAGTGAGAAGTTATTTCAGTGCACAGGCAAGCCAAGAGGCAGCATGGGTTGGATAAAACATGGTTTTAATATTACAATGTAATGCAAGGAGTTTGGTGGTAAATGGACAAGAACTTAAAAACTTTACTTATCAGTTATCCAGTATCCCCGATATTGTTTGTGTGTGGGAAACATGGTTGAAACCAAATTTGTATAGAATCCTGAATTATACAGCAGTTAGGTGTGATAGGGTAGAGGGGATATGCCATTCAGAGTTGTCAGTAAGGGAACAGAAGAAGAAAAGTATATTGTGGTAGAAATATGGACAAAAGAAGGACAATTTAACTTCATAAATTACAAGGACAGTTTAACATAAATGACTATAACCCATGCAGGAAACTTGAAATTAATAAGTAAGAATCTATATAATCATATATTTTGGTGTGGGGATTTTAATTCACATAGCATATTGTAGGAAGGGAGAAAGACAGACATAAATGGGGAGATAATAGAACAACTATTAGAGGATAGTAATTTAGTATGTATCAATAATGGGGGAGGGACAAGGATAGATGTACACACAGGTAGCACTTCAGCACTAGATTTGACTGGTATCAAATGAGGTGACAGGGAAGTTGGAAGTATGGGAAGACTCAACAATTAGAAGTGACCACTACCCAATATTAAGTAACACACACACAGGCCAGGAAATAAAAGTATAAGAAAGGGAAGTAAAGTGAATATTCAGTAAAGCTAAATGGGAACAATTTCAGTACTTATGTTAGATGGGAAATGGGAAAATAGACCTTGACCTTGAAGAAGATGGGAGGGGACAGGAGGGAGTGGAGTTATCCTGTTCTGACAGATGGAAGTATCACAGCAGTAACAAACAAAGAAAATGCAGAGGTGATGGTAAACTAAAGTACATAGTTATAGTTATAATAAGGAAGAAGGGAAAGAGGTGTTGTATATTGAGTGGCGATGATGTGAAGATGATGAAGGAATCCCTGCTGACACCGTCTTGCTTGAAGGTTTATTACAAGAAGTTCAGCATCAATACAAGCACTGCAGTATGCCTGGAGAGAGATTTGGAGCCGATGTGAATCTCTTCTCTCTGACAGCTCCAACTCCCCGTTTATATAGGGACAGTTGTTGTCATAATCCTGAAGAAACATATCTGGTTCCCCCACTAGCCCATCTCCTCTGAATTAGAAACAGAGGAAGGTGCCAGCTCAAATTTAGAGCGGTGGTTAGAGCCTTGACCTATTGACCTAATGCCAACACCTAGCTTTTCTCAGAGAACCAAAGAATATGGACCTTCAGATTATCAGGGTTTATGGATTTCAAACCCATCAATCAACTTCCTTCAAAACGAAAAACAACACATGGCATTTCAGACACCACAGAGGCAAAAAGAGGAAAAGTATCTGAGAGAAAAATATCTGCAAGTTGTTGGAAGGATTATAAACGTGAAGTTAATATATGAAAATGGGACCCCTCAGGGGAGTGAAGTAAGTCCAACCGTATTTTCAATAATGATATATTTGAGAATATCCCAGCTGGTATGGGGAGTTCATTGTTGCTGATGATGGAGCTCTGTGGAAAAGGGACAGAAATGTGTTTATAGCTAAGAAAATGCAGGAGGGAATCAGTCAAGTTGAAAATTAAGCGCAGTAATAAGAATGCAGATCTAATGAGTGAATTCTATTACCATATGGAGAGTAGATATAAGGAATGGATGCAGATATTTACAGATGGATCAAGGGACTCACACAAGTTTGGACACAGTAAGCGAACATCAAATCATCTGAATGTGTATGCTGTTGAGATGTTTGTGATGGCATTAGAGGGGTGGAGCATAGCAGCTGCACTATGATAGTTATATGCAGTGACCCTGGATCAGCCCTCACAAGTATCAAACAGGAAAAGCAAAAAACCGTCAAGATTTATTGCTTAAATATTATTGACAGTAAAATGGGGGAATAAGGAAGGGATATAATGTTCATGTGGGTGCCAGCTCATTTAGGCATTTTGGGGAATAAGTGGGTGGATAAATTAGCAAAGGAAGCAGTTAAGAGAGAAGCTGGTGAGGTCAACATTAAGTTGTCAAAGTCAGGGCAGAGGCATAGTGTGGAAGAAAGTAATTCCACAGTGGCAGCAGAACTGGGATACAGAGAAAAAACGAAGGCATTTACAGTCAGTACAGAGCAGAGTAAATCAGTTAAGAAGCAGGGGAAACAGCAAGTAGCAACAGGCAGACTAAGGATCAGGCACAGTAATTTGAATTGCGTACTACAAATTATTGGGAAACATCCAACTGGATTGTGTGACTATTTTCAGGAGGAGGAAACAGCAAAACACATACTTATGTCATGTTGGAAATTCGTACAGGAGAGACAAATAAAGATGGATTATCTAAAGGGAATAGGACAGGCTGAGGGCAGTGTATGGGGCATTTTAGAATGAACAGATTGTGCACAAGGGAGGTATGGCATCTTTAACTTTTTTATTATGACTGGACTAGATAATGGCATAATGAGAGAATGGAACCTGAAGGTGGCAATAATGCAACATTCTGGATGTCAGCTGTTGTAAAACAACAAAAAGAAAGAAGAAACACAGATATGTGATGATGCTGTATCACCTGTGCACCACAGAAAAATAAAAAATAAAATAAAAAAATAAAATAGCTTCAAGCCTGAACTAAACCTGTATCATGTGTTTTTCCTCTCTGGATGCCCCTTGACCACTCTGGCATTCTAACTAGATACATATATATATACATACATATATAGATATACAGTATATCTATATGGGGGGGGGGATCAGCATGTGTCACGTCGAATTCACCCACTCGCTCTCAGACGACGGCTTTAGGACGTGCTCGTGTCTAGTTTAGAAGGAGGTTTCTGTTGTCCAACAGAGCGAATCAGAGACCGGTATCTGCTCGTTTCTTTCACGATGTCATGGGAGATCCGGTCACCGCCTTGTTTCTAAAGAGCCTTTTTCCTGCGGTCAGACTTTCTGTTCTGTTGTCACATGCATTCCGCCTACATTACCAATGTGGCACGGAGGAGACACTGAGCATGGATGCGACTCTAATAAAACAGGTGAGTTGGTCCCTAGATGTTCAGTCTGAGATGACAGTGTGTGACGCCGTGCCCACTGCGCCAAGTGAAAGTGTGGTACCGCTCGGCAGTTAGCGCAGACACAACATCTCTCTTTAACACGAAGCTTGTCCCACTTAATCAGCTGGTGGTGATGAAGCTGCTAGTAAATTGAACATGGAGAAAGGTAATGAGGTTACTGAAGGTCGGGATGTAAAGATGGAACCTTGAGCTGCGGTGTGTTTGAAATGAACATAATAATACAGTGTGTTGCTGGCTACATCGTGTTCTTTTCAATGAGTACTACTGCTTACTGCACTTACACATTGAGACACACATTTTTGTAATTCGCCGATGACAAAACACGTCCAGCAGCTTAAACTGGGTTTAAAAATGGAAATATTTTAATTGCACATGTTATAAGGGATTCATAATAGAATGTATTTAACACAATGATCTCCTTTAATTTATATAATTATTATTATATAAAATTTATGACACTGACTTTCTTCCAACTACTTCTGTGAAGGGTTCCATCATTCATGTGCATTAAAAAAAATTTTTATCAAAAGAAAAACTTAAAATAATATCTAATATCATGCATGACAAATGCATATTTGATAAGGTTTAAAAGTTGTGTCCATACTTATGTCAAGGCCATCAGACATTTATCAAAATGTAATAACATGGCAGACAGGGTATATATAAATATGTTTTATAGTTTTTTATTAAATTATTTTTAATCTTAATGTTAATATTTCCTGTGTCACAACAATGATATGTGGTCTAATGATATTTCTGTTTAGATTGTTTAGGTCATTTTATCCTCCTGAAGTAGGTTCTGTTAGCATCTTGCATGAAGCTGAAGAGAAAATGGCTGCTACAAGAACTTAATTTGTTTTGTGAACATATGGCTATTATGTTAATACCATCAGATGTCAACTCCGTCAGATTATCTGCTTGAAAGTGGTGACAGGCTAGAAGTTGTCATTCAATGAGAAGGCATCATTTTTGAGAGTTGAGTCAAATATAGAAATAGATTATTAGATTGTCTAATAATATACAAATACTAAATATGTGGCATCTGCTGTTTTATTGCTTTTGTTAATTGACAGATCAACTCTATCAGGGTTTAGTTGAGGGAACATTGCACACATAATGGTGAAGGTACATAGACACACATAATAATATTGGGAGTGTTGTTTTTGTGTATTTTAGTCTAGCATAGGCCATGTGTCACTGGAGGAACGTAGAAGGAGGAACGTAGAAGGAGGAACAGAACGTATCAAAAAGTGGAGAGAGAAAATCAGAAGAATTAAAAGAAGAATTTCTTAGACAGGAGGGACAGAGCTGGAGACAGAAAGTTAGAGAAGGAAAAATAAAGCAAATAAAGGATTTGACTGAAAGAGAACAGAGGAAAAGGAGAAAGAATTGGAATCATAGCCAAAGAAAAATCGAGAAAGCGAGGTCAAGAGAGAGGGTTAAAACATGCAGAGACATTCAAAAGAAAAAAGTAAAGAACAAACTCAGATATGCTCAAATTAAGAAAGCAGCTATTAAACAGAAAACCCAGGAAACCACACCATATGAATCACCAAGAACCACCACAGAGAGAATGCTGTGTAGAAGAAATACCAGCTCTGTGTCAGTTAAGAAAACACTTCTGTTTCACAATGTTCTTATGAAAGAATTTAGTGAAGGAAAACAAAGTGCAGAAACACTTCAAATCAAAAAACCTTCAATTGTGATGGAAGATTCTTAAAAAATTCCGGCTGCTGAAAAAAATGAGGCAATTTGGTCTGACATATAAAACGCTGAGGCTAAAGGAATCCAAAGTCAAAAGACCCTCCTACCTTAAAAACTATTTGATTAACTGTTTAAGGTAAAATAAATTTATATATACAGTCTATTTTAAAAAGGACAGAAGAAAATCTTTAAAACGTTGGAAATAACACCAACATGAGTGGGACTGCCACCCTCTCTTCAAATTAAGTGGTGGTAGTTAATTATTTTGAATTAAAAATTATAATCATACAATACAATAACAGTGCAGTACAGTTAATTTTCTACATGGTGCAACTTAATAGAAATTAATTTTACTATTTTTATTTATTTATTAGAGTTTATTTTGTTATTTTACTTTTGTAATCAGTTATATGTTTTCTGTTCCTTGAGTACTTAAAACATACAGAACCATAACCTCAAAACCGAGATATGTACCAAACCGTGATTGTTGAGTACCGTTACACCCCTATAAGATGAACCCATTTGTCAGTAAAGACAATTTTCTTACAATATTAGAACTGATTTAACATAACCATTGAGTATTAAATACATTTATACAGGTACGAGAAATCCTTACTTCCCCATTCTCTTGTGGGGAAATAGAACACCCCACCTGAGACAATACCAAGTGACTCAATGTATAGGGGCTTAAGGTTGGCTGGAATAACAAACCACAGCATAACACACAGCTGTTTGCAGAATGCATAGCGATGAAGTAATGTATCATAATTCTCATTCCGATTTCATTTTTCTTGTTTGTAAGAGACATGGAGTTGGCGAGGAACAGCCCTGGGAGTGCTGGTCTGTATGGGTTAGCCTTTAGCCTTTAGCCTTTACCCTAGCCTTTAGCCTTGCTTCCCCTGGTTCTGGTTAGTTTATAGAAAAAGCTAATTTTCTCCCTGACTGTCTCATTTTCTGTTGTAGGTCATAAAGAGGCTGTATTATTAAAATAAGACTTCAGAACCACTACCCTCCTTGTAGGGGCTTTAAATTATAATGTTGAGAATAGAAAAGGATACATTTTTTTAAGGAAGACTTGGTGTGGCTCTAGAAAGGCCTGTTTTGGTCAATCAATCAGAGACTGAAATATTTCAACTATTAGAGGGATTATTTCTACATAATATACAGATATCCATGGTCTCAGTAGGATCCTAATGGTTTTTGTGGTCCACTGAATTTTCCTCTGACATGCATTTTAATGGCTTGAAGCCTTTCTTGGTCTGAGACTCAAGTTTGTAATCACAACAACAAAAATGAATAAATAATACATTTTTAAAGAAATACAACTAAGCTCTCTACAAACTAAACTCTATTAAGTGACAGAGGTATTGAAGAAAAACACTCAACACTAGGGCTGCGAATAAGCACTGTGCGGGCTCAAGCACTTGTGAACTTTGGACCTGACGCGGCTATGGGGGAGGGCGGATAGGGACTGGTTGAAATGGCTCTGTGTCGCCAAACTCACGCCCACTAATCGTGCATTACCATCCACACCATCAAATGCAGACCACACAGTGAAAATTTAATGTAAATCAATTCAAGTTTTGAAACGAGGCTTACTTTCTGTTACCAGCAAATGGTGCTATCACTATCACTACATTAAGGACTCATAGATCTGTTCAGGTTGGAGCTCTGATGAAGCGTGAGCAATTTGGGGCAAATTGGACAATGAACAGTGGAGTTACAACAACTTAATTTTCATGCTGATAAGTAGGTGGCACTATGACCCTGAGTATATATTGACATATGGAGCTGTTCAGACCAGGACTCTAATTGTATGATAGAATTTTGGGGTTTAATGAACGATGCACACTGGAGTTAAAAAAAAACCTTACTACTTCACATTCAATCAGTAGGTGGCATTATGACCCTGAGTTAATATTGAAAAATGGGCCTGTTCAGGTGGGGACTGTGATCATAGTTTAAAAGTTTGGTGCAGATTAGACAATGTAGAGTGGAGTAACAACAACTTCCTTTTTTAAGCTGAACAGTAGATGGCACTATCACTATAACTAAATACAGACTATTAGATCTGTTTAGGTCAGGACTCTGATCATAGTGTTGTGGAAAATCTGCTGATCAATGGTCACCTCATCAATGAAGAAAGCATACAGGGGCCCTTTGATGTCTTATGCTGAAATATTTATTGACGCTTGGCCAAGGAGAAAATCAGAATTAATGTATTTACTAGTTATGGAGACAGTAGTGCCTGCTTACGCAGTCTCATATCTGTGATGTCTGGGGCGTAAAGGCTTTGACCTTCGCCAAGCTCTCGCACTTCCCAAACACAACAGCCTGTTGCACTCTGCTCCAGAGAGGACAAGAGACAGTGTCTATGAAAAATTCCATAACACATAGGACAGAATTTTGGGGCTGATTGGACAAGGCACAGTGGAGTTAAAAATAACTTAATTTTCACGCTTATCAACAGGTGGTGCTAGGACCCTGAGTTAATATTGACACATGGAACTGTTCAGGCCGGGACTCTGATCATATGACAGAATTTTGAGGCTGATTGGACAATGCACAGTGAAGTTACGACAACGTTGTATCTTTTGGCGAAGGATCAACCTTCACACCTCAATGTTTACATGGTTTGAGGAAATGTCACAATCCTGACCATGTTCTTATCGCTTGTCTGAGCTCATTTGAGCTGTATATTGTAAAGCATTCAGCAGCACTGATCAAAGTATAAAACATGTCACTTCCCGTCATCAGCAGGTGCTGTCACAGTGAGTTAATATTGACATATGTATCTGTTCAGGGTGGGACTGTGATCGTGTGAATGAGGTTTGGGGCTGATTGGACAATGTACAGAGGAGTTATAATAAATCCCTCTTTTTTGGCCACTCATCGCAATGCCACGATCAGACCGTGTGACACACACTAAAAAATCAAGGTAGTTTTAATCTCCATGGAGCTGAGATGACACTCACTGAATTAAAAGTTGGTCTGATGAAAGCTCTAGGAGGAGTTCATTCAAATACAACATGTGTAAATGGTATTAAACTTAATTCAAAATGGCCGACTTCCTGTTCAGTCTAGTATACCGATCCAAGAAAGTTTTGTTCGTTAAGGGCACGAGCACTGACAGTGCGAAGGTCCTATTGAAATTGATGTGATTACTATTATTTTTCAGGCAAATTAATTGCCTTTTTGAGGGCTAAAACATACTTGAAAACTCATGAATATTTGCAGAAAATTCAAAAGTGGTGAAAATTGAAGTATTCTGGAGTAATTTGAAGTGGGCGTGGCAAAATGTCTCAACACCGCCACCTAGAACACAGCCCCTGAATTTGCTTTCACTGATCCACACGAGACCATGGCTTGGTATCAAATATTGATTACTTGCCATCCAAACACAAAGTTGTTGTATCTCAGACATACATGGTCCAGTCTTCTGCAAACTGGAAATGTATGACGAGTCCCGGCCTGATGACATCCAATAGAAACCATGCCTTAAAATCCCAGTGCCCCCTGGTGGCAACAGGAAATGTCTTGTTTTTTGCACATCTTACACTTTGATGTAGTTGTCCTCAACCATTGACCACAACCATGTCAAACTTTTTCTGAAGGGTCTAAAGACATTGATGATGTTTTTGTCAGACAACATGTTATAGGCGTGGCATCAAAGTTCAACAAGTCGCCATGACACACGAAAATGCTGTAATTGTAGTATACACTGTTCAATCAACAGCTCAGAAAAGCTATAAGAACATGGTCAGAATTGTGACATTTCCTCAAGTTTGATTCGCCATGAAACAGGAGGTTGAATTTTTCAACTGTTGATTGTCTAATCGACACCAAACTTTAAACCAATGATGCCACAGTCCTGGCCTGAAAAGCTCCATGTGGCAAAACTAATACAGGGTCAAAGCCCCACCTACTGATTCACTGTGAAACAGGATTTTTTGTAAACTCCCCTGTGCATTGTCCAATCAGCCCCAAAATTCAGCGTGAAAGTGATGTTGTTGCACCTCCACTCTAGATTGCCCAATGGGTACCAAAATTAAATCCTATGAACACAGTCCCTTACTGAACAGCTCCATATGTCAATATTATTCCATGGTCATATCGCCTCCTACTGATTCGCCATGAAACAGGACTTTTTTTTTTATTCCATTGTCCAATTTGCACCAAAATCCCACCTTCTGATTAGCGTGAATATACATTTTTTGTAACTCCACTGTGCATTTTCCAATCAGCACCAAAATCCTGTCACATGATCAGGGTCCCTTCCTGGACAGATCTATTAGTCTGTATGAAGAAGATATACTTTTATTGTCACATTTAACACTTTTACATGCATACATGAAATTGTTCTCTGTATTTAACCCATCCAGTTGGCACCTGGATGAAACACACATTGACAGATGCCATGTACACACATATACTGGAGCGGTGGGCTGCTGTTGCCAGCGCCCGGGGAGCAGATGTTGGGGGGATGGTGCCTTGCTCAAGGGCACCTTGGTCATGGCGAGCGGGGATTGAACCGCCAACCTTCCGGTTATTCGACGACCTGCTCTACCGCTGAGCCACGGACCTCCTGCATGCCAGAACAGCCAGTTTTTGCCTGTTAAATGACAATGACAAAATGTTACAATTAAAAAAGTACTATACAATATAAACCTTACAGCAATTGGTGCAGCCGTCTGTGCAATGTGCATCTTACACACGCTAACTTCTCTGTAAAATATTATGTGTATATGTATATAACTAGCTTTTTAGATTACTAAGCTATGAAATTGACCGTGGATCGTGAAAGCTAACTTTGTTAGCAGCTTTAGTTCTCTCGGCGCAGTCGGGATCACAGTGGCCATCTGGCCGCCGTTACCACAGCATCCGGGCCCGCACCACCAGGCTCATGGACAGTTTCATCTCCCAGGCCATAAGACTTTTAAACTGCTCCCATCAGTCATAATTCATCTCTCTGCACCTTACAATATTCGCACAATTCTATTTGCACTACTTTTGTATTTTTTAAATTTTTATATTCTATTTCATTTTTTATATTTTATATTTATTTTATTTGTATTTTTATTTTCATAATTTCAGAGCATGTCTAAAGGGGGGCCTGGGACTCAAGAATTTTATTGCCAGCAACTGCTAAATGTAATTGTTGTGCATATGATTATAAAACCCTTGAACCTTGTTATAAGTCATATATTTACAGTCCTCACGTTCAGAGTTTTATCGAACACTTGCGCCTCTCCAGTGCCCTCCTCAAATTCAAATATGGTATTGTCCGGCTCAAAAATGCTAAGTCAAATTTTAAACTCTTAGCTTCAAAACAGCAGTTCACCAACTAATGCGTGACGTCATGGTAGGTTGTCACTTGGTAGCGACAGCACGTAGCTGTGCATCCAACGCTGCTTGCAGATTAAATTAACGTTTTGTTCCTTTTAGGTATAACACCGAAACATTGCAAGTAAATGTATCACTGCAAGTAAAACAGTGTGTAGGAGTGTTTTCATTAACATGTGGATCAAACATGTACTAGTAAGGCTACTTGATGAGCCTAATTTTGTTGTAAATGAATAACTATTGTACAAATTATTGTCTAGGCTCCCATAGTGGTGGCTCTTCAGGATGTGTCCCTGGTCTCGAGTCAGCCTGGCACAGTTACCACCTTAGCCCTGGGAACAGCATCTGTGGTGGGCACAGACAGAGTACAGTGTCTGACAGTGGTGACACTGGCATTGGCACTCACTTCTCTGACAGTGTGGAAGGTAAGATGTTCTGTTAATCACAACAGACCTCACATGCTGCTGCTGATCTGTCTCCTACATTCCTGTTGTTGTCAACTGTGCACTGCTCACAAATCTTCAGTTTCTTATCAATATTCTCTGACACTAATCAATAAAGTCAGTAAAAATTGCTTTGAAAACACAGCATGAGATTCCCCCGCTGAATTCACAGCCGACACCATTGTTAATGTGCTGTAAACAAAACTCATGATCTCAGCAGAAGAATTAATATGATGCTTCATGCCTCTGCCTGCTGCACCACCCCTCACCTGAATCCTGCAGAGAATTTGCTTTTGTTGTGAACTTGTCTGATCAGAGAACCTCTCTGCGTTGTGCAAACTGCGGAGAAAGTCCAGACCCAATTCTCTGGGGATCCTCCGCAGGACATGTCTGAAAACGCCAATGAAGAGGGTGGTCTCACTAGACCAGAGAATCTTTTTCCTCATATTCTTAGAGGCAGCATTTGTAAAGTTCATTTTACTTAATATCTTGGTCTTTATCCTGAAATGCAGTGTGAATCATGGAACCTTATATACACATCATTGATAAAGAAAGTGAACAAAAGTATCCTTGAACCACCCCCTGATCTGGATTTGCACCAAGATATATTGGGTGCATTTAACAGCCAGATGGGCCTAAATTATTTTAAATGTACATCATGAGAGCAACTCTTTCAGATTAGGGGGCAGCAGTGGCTCAGTCCATAGGGATTTGGCTTGGGAACCTCCTGGGCACTGCCAATTGCTCACAGGGCACTTCTCCTGGGGCTGCCCATCACTCTACTCTACTTTACAATCTCTCTCCAAAAAATGTGCATGTGCATGTCTTTGAGCCCTCTGTGTGTGTGGGGTTGTGGGTTTGAACTGCATGTGTAAAAAAAAAGTGTACAAAGAATTTCCCCTTGTGGGATAAATAAAGGAAGTTTAAGATTCAGGTAGTACTGCAACTGAGATGAGGAGCAGCTTTCTCACACAGCCTTTAGCGACAGATAGCAGGATCAAGACTTGTGAGTGAAGAAATCAGTTGTCTAGAAATCACCTCATGTACCTTTATAGTAGACAGTTGTTTCCTTTTTAACTACTCTGCTTTTTGATTAAAATCTCTCATACTAGAATGTTAAGTAATATAATGAAGATGATTCACAGTCTTAATCTATCTTCCTGCAGATGACTCCAGTTCCAGTACCACGCCTTTTTCTTTCCAGCCACTGTCCCAGCTTCACTTCAGCCAGGATGATGCTAACCCCATTGTCCATGTTATGCCACCCAAGTCCTCTTCACCCAACACCAGTGTTAGAGTACCTTCCTCCCCAATCAGCACGGTTAACTGTACCAGGTCTTCTCAGCTGCTAATGCCAACCATGTCTCACCTGGGTGCTCCAAGGTATCGGAACATGAAGGAACATCAACTCATCCGGAGGTGGTCCTCACAGGGCTCTCTGGACAGAGGCCTGGTAAATGGGCACAAAAGAGGGCCCATGGTTTCAAATGTGGACCTTTATCTACAGCTATCTTCCTCTGTGCACTGCCATACCCTGCTGCAGCGCTCACCAGGTTGTGGCCCCTGCTACCATTACAACCACAGCAGTACATCCAGTGGATTGGAAACAAGCCTGTCCCTTTTCTCAGCTCTGTCTTTCCCAGTAAAACACATTGGTCTGGACATGAGCTATAGTGCTTTACCAGATGTGAAACTGGGTCCAGGAGGTGGAAGGGTTAATGACCTCAGCTTATCCAAACAAGCAGACTTACCACTGGGTCAGCAGTCTGACAGAAGCTCCCCAATTCAGCCTGCTGTTCGCACCCATATGTGGCTGACTGAGCAGATGGCGGACAGGCCCAAAGCAGTGCATCAGATCAGTGGTACTGAAATAAAGGGCTCTCTTGGAGATGAGTCATCGTCATTGCAACAGGGACATAAGCAGGAACCAGGAATTAACCAGGTTAGAACAGTATTATAATAATTAGGGAGGTTTGAAAAAGGGGGAAAAAAGGAAAAATGCGAAGGAGGGAAAAAAATACTTTACATAAGAATCTCTCTTCTTGGTACAAACACTAGTATCCTGGTATATGTATAAAATCTGAATTAAACTAATGCTGTCCAGAAAACTTTCCTTTATCTTCCTACCTTCATTCAGGTAGGTGAATGTAACATGAATCCAAATGGTTAATTCATGATTGAGCTGATTTTTATTTCAAATTGATATTATATGGTAAATGGTCTGTATTGATAATGCTTTACTAGTCTTGATGACCACTCAAAGTGCTTTAGAATACAAGTTTGTGCCTTTCACCCATTCACACACACATTTATACAGTGCATCCATAGTCTGCACTCTTTTTTGCTATAAGGCAATCTGGCGTTTAATATCTTGCCCAAGGACACTTTGGCTTCTGGAATGGGGAAGACTGGTATAGAATTGCTGACCTTCTGGCTAGAGCACTACTCTGTCTACTCCTTGAGCCATAGCCATTAACTATTAAATGATAATTATTTATTACTTATCCATGACCACTTTATTTAAAAAATATTTCTTATTGTTCCTGAAGTTGGGTGTTTATTTTTTAATCAGACCATTCATTAAGAAAAGGAATAGAAGGCAATTTAATGAGTCAGCTGCAGTGTGCCAATTGTTGAATGAAGCCTCACTTGCCCTTTAATCCTGGCAGTTGACATCTCCGGGTTAATAACATCCAAAAAAGTGAGGAGCCAGTGTTAAGTGATCAGGGAGAAGAGTGATAATCAGTGTGATAATCTTTTAAGCAGCTGTCAATGTGCCTCTAAGTTTGGTGACAATAAGCACTTACAGACACTGGAATGAATCAGACTGAGCGATCCTGAAGCTGGAGGACAGTCCCACACCATGAGACAGAAAGTTTGATAAAGTTTGAAAATTATGGACACTATTGACAGTATACCTCTGTTTTGCCATGTCTAGCCAATAGCTTAAAGTTGGTGCTTGAGAAAAGTCTATTGCCATGGGACACTATGTGTCTGGTGAGTCGATCCAAGCTGTCAAAAATAAAAAGGAAAATGTGGAAACAGGCAGATGGAAAACTTTACAATATCTTGAAAAAGAATCCAAACCTTTGTCATAGCAAATGTCTTCAAAGATGTGAATGTTACTGTCACTCCAGTAGGAGGCTAAAATGACTGTGTGTGCATCATATGTAGAGGATCATACTTTGGGATTAAGCTGTGCATCATGTCTGAATGATATGAAAAGATCATTATTCTTCACAGAGGATAGTAATGTGATTACATTACGTGTTAAAATATTCTGCAATTGTGGATGTTACCAGATGCTGACACTGATCTCCCACCCTGTAAACACTCTGATGAAGGCTAAAGAAGGGCTCCTTAGACAGAAAGAGCTGGAGATCGACAGGTAATACAGCAACACAAACTCCATCCTCCAAAATTATCATCAAGTTGAATTAAAGGTTCAGTGTGTAGAATTTAGTGACATCTAGTGGTGAGGTTTAATGTTGCTGCTGAATACGCTCACCTCACCCTCCCATTCCAAACATAAAAGAGAACCTGTGGTAGGCTTAAGTTGTCATAAAGAAAAGGTGTTTATTTTGTCCAGTCTGGGTTACTGTAAAAACATGGTTGCGTCTGTAAAGAGGACCTGCTCCTGATGTAAATATAAAGGTTAAAGAACACAACAATCTGTTCAATTTATATGATTACACACTACTGAAAACATCACTAGTGTAACGAGTATGGTTTGGACCCAAATGCAGCACAACAAGCATGGACAGTTGGTAACAGTCTTTATTCTCAGCGTAGCTCACAGCAGATCAGGTGGCAGGCAATACAAACAGCAAAAGGCAGAAGACTTGTTCAGGGACGGAAGGCAGAGGTGATTACCAGGTTTCAGATGAGGCAGGTTAGTCAGACACAGGAAGGGTCAGCAACAAAGAATCAGTCCGGAGATGAGTGCTGGAAAGTCTTGCATGAAGGCGTTGAACAATCTGGCAACTGACTGAGAGTGGAGCTGGTGAATATATACTGGGCTGAGCAGCTGTGTTGGGTTGGTGAGAGGGTGTGGCTTGGCTGGCCGATGAAGCAGAGGCGGAGTCCATGGAAAAGTACTGAGAGGTGGAAGGATGGGAGACTGACTGAGAAATGGGAGGATGGGAAACTGACTGAGAAATGGGAGGATTGGAGACTGACTGTGACAACTAGGATTATTTTATATTCAATTTCTGCCAATAGATCCCTTTCACCTAATTCTTACACACTGGAACTTTAGCACCTTTGTCAACACAAACTGAACAACAGAATTATTCCTGTTGTACTAGACTGTGTATGTGAGTGTAAACCAGGAAATAAATATGCTATTTAAGTAAAAAAACATTAACCAAATTAACAACTATCAAGCTACAAGTTAACAATTTCAAGTTTTATATTCCTTTTAGATAGACCACAGATCACATAGAACAGCACATCAACTGCACTTTTCATCAAACTACCAAAAATATAATATGAAAAAATGTCAGTATTTTGACCCTGAAGGATGCATGTCTCCATAGCATTAACTTTCATCAATTCTTTCCAAATTAATCGAGTACCTGCCAGTGTAATTTTTTCAGAGTGCTCCACTTATTTTGCATATCCGCTGAAGTAAAAAAATGGACCCCCCTGAGTGGATGACAGTTTTTTTAAATCACCCCCTACTGCATGATAATCTCATCAACATCTTACTGATGACAGCTCAAAAACACCATGAAAGAAAGAAATCGCATTAGAAATAGCGACAAAGTCTTTAGAACAAAAGACATATTGCGCATTGCTCAGGGTTGTTCCACAGCTACCTCTATTTTTTACAAACTTTTTACAGCATGGAGGAACTGAAGAGACTTTTGTTTGGTATCTTTTATCTTCAGAAATATCGACAGCTGACATTTTGTTGTAACTACAGAGATCTGCTAGTGTCATGTGAGAGACAGTACAGTAAACATAATCGTATTCAGTTGAGTGTAAAAATATTGAAAGATTATAAAAAGATGAAAATGTACAGTATATTAAAACCAGCGCGTTCCAAACCTGGGTGTTTCCCTCCTTTCCTTTATTGCACCTGTTTTTGAGCTTTAATGTTTACACTAAATACTTTGGCTTGACCATCTTGTCTCATGTATCTGCTGTATAATCTATACGGACATTTTGCATTTACTCTGTCTTTACAAACAACAATGTTTGTAAGCAGGAAGGAATTGTGTGTTTCAGGCAGAAGCAGGAGATCTTGCAGCTCCATATTCGAATCAGAGAGAATGAGCTCAGAACACAGCAAGTCCTGCAGAACCACAGAGGGTGGTTTGACGACCACATCACTAAGGTTACACTTGTCTGATGATTGACCATTTAAATTCATAATTTGATAATTACACATCTAATAAGTAATATTGTCATAACAACACAGGCTCTGTTTGTCCAATAGGAGTCATCAGCAAGACTCCTATGCAGCAAACAGTCTGATAGGCTGTGCTGCGATGAAGAACTTGGTAGGAAGCTAGTAGTGGCTGAACTGGAAGTTCTCCAATTGAATGAATTATTCAAGCAAGTCACACGAAAATACACAGAGGAAATCAGAAAAATGGAGGAAAAGGTACATTTAGAAAAAGTGATGGATCTGACCACAGGAACAAAAATATAAATCACCTACAGTTTGAAGAACAAATGACAGACTTTGTTTAATTTGTTGCTTCTTGGATTATTTTGTGTACCCCACATGATAATTGATTTAAACTAATGAAGTGTTTTTTATTTCATACCACGTTTGTGCTGTTTAGTCATTTTGTCTGTTATTTCACAGATAAAAACAAGGAATTGCTATATCAGTAGTCTGAAAAAGAAGTATCAAAGAGAGAGTGAACAGAGCAATGGAAAGCAACAACGGATAGAGACACTGGAGAAATACCTTTCTGACCTGACAACACTGGATGAGGTTCAAGCTCAGGCCCAGCAGGTACACACATATACAGAATACACACACACACACACACACACAAACACACACAGGTCTGACAGTGCAACCAACACCATTTACTCTATACTGGCAGTGCTAATGGTTATCCACAGGGCAACATGTTACACTGTGACCTAATAGCTCAGAATATGTTTTGTGGCTGATACTGATAATGTGGAGTAAAACAATTCTATCACAATAAATTAGCCGATATATGTATTTCAGTAAATTGACAATGATAACTAAGATGTCGTCATCAAACCCTTAGGAACTTGAATTAATAAAAATAAACAAAAGTCTAAACAAAATTACAACCAAAGCCCAAAAAGAGTCCTAATTCATATCAGTCATAATTACCCTCATAGAGGCAGATCCTAACACCATTACTTCAGAGCTGTTTGTGAAAGGTTCTCAGGTTTTACTTCTGAAATAAAATAAAATCCTTTGCAAATGTTTCCCACTTCTGAGATATTGATCCCTATCAGCCCTGTCTGGTGCTTATTAACCTGTATGGTTGCGAAAAGCACCCATTAATGTTGTGTGTCGCACAGCGTCAACAGCTTGATTGTTTGTGTGTGCATGTGTGTGTGTGAGTGCATCTACTCAGCAGGAGGAGGTACAACAGAAAGCCAAGGATCTGGAGAAGACTGTGTGTCAGTTAGAGAAGACCCTGGAGGAAGGATGTGCTCTGATGAAGGAGAGAGATGTCAAGATTGAGATGCAAGCCGATAGAGAGAAGGACCTGATTGCATCTGTGCACAGGTACATCATCAGTTGACAGGTGCCATGATGTCACCTAGTTTTATTAATCCTCCACGCCAGCGTTAGCCAGTGGCCGGAGGCATTATATTTTCATTGTCCAGTTTTTGAATGTTAGACCTTAAGTTGTTTTGAACTCAATATATCAGGAATGCCCAAAGGAAGTTTCATGATATCTGGAACAATCATTCAGTTGGACTCAAGCATCCTCTGGAGAGAATTGGTGTGCCTCAACATTTTTTGCCTTGTGAATGTGATATTCACATTTGGCATGAATAATCACTTGAACTTGGATCTCATTTTGGTAGCCAAAGGTCAAGGTGGCCTCGCAAAGTGTGTTTATGTTTTTCTTGAACGTGATATCTTGAGATAAGATGTCTTTAAATTTGGACTTGAAGATGAACTTATGATGCCTGTAGGTCAACGGTCAAGGTCACTGTGACTTCACATTACTATAAATGTGATATATTAGGACTGCCCGTAGGGAATTTCATTGCATCTGGCACAATTCACTTTGAATCATGAATGACCTGATTAGAATTTGGTTGTCAAAGGTCCTTGGACCTCTCAAACAAATGTTTTGCCTTGTGAATGTAATTTATAACATAAATTATATTATATTTCTTCAGGTTTTGGTCATTTGTCATTTGGACTCAAAGATGAAGTGATTACATAATAATAATAATAATGATAATTGAACTTTATTGATCCCTCAAGGGGAAATTCTTTTTACACTCATTTTCATATTTTATACATGCAGTTTAACCCACAATCCCACACACACACAAGGGGCTCAAAGACATGCAAATTTGGAGAGAGATGGGCAGCCCCGGAAAGGTGCCCAGCAAGCAATTGGGGGGTATTGTTGCCTTGCTCAAGGGCACCTCAGCAGTGCCCAGGAGGTGAACTGACACCTCTCCAACTACCAGTCCACCGTCCATATTTTTGGTACATACTGGACTTGAACCGGCCATAATTTTTTTACAAATATATACATGGAAACTGCACTGGTTGGTGGAGGCATAAAAGCGCTGCAATTGTAGTTCAGACTGAATATTGGGCAAGACAGTGAACCCAAAATGCCACTGCAGAGTGAGAATGATGTGTGATATAAAAGGCACTGGGTACAGTGCTGTTAGAATTAGCATGTGAATTTGACTTGGACTGTAAGTGCTTTGAGTGGTTGAAGACTAGAAAGCGCTATAGCAGTATATAAATGCATGTTTGTGCAGTGTGCCTCTGCCTGTGTGATAGCTAGGACTCTGACTTCTCTGAAAGCTTCCAGGAACTTCAGTTCATCTCTACTTCCTCTCATTTTTGTCTTACCTTTGTCCATTTCAAGTTGAAACATTATGGTCACATCATTAAATGTGTGCCCACTTGGATATTTGCATTGGATATATACTGTACATAGTTGTGCTGCCTATATAATTGTTTGCATTCAGTCAGAACAATCTCTTTTCTACATTAGATGAGGAAACAGCTGCTAACATGCTCTCATGTCACTTGACATATCTCCCTTCTCTTTGTAATGATGTACCTTGTCTTGGTAAAGCCTACAGCAGAAGGTGCAGCAGTTTTTGGATGATGGGGTGAGGTTGCCAATGCAAGACCTGATGGAGCTTGAGGTGGAAAACACTCGACTTCTAGAGCAGCAAGACTACAGCAGCAGGGTAACATCCCTTACACATGCACAAAAACTATACACATACACACACAAATAATGTCAAAAAGTAATTTGCATGTCATCTCTGCTTCCCACCAGATGATCAAGCATCATAAAGAACAGATTGAGAGACTGACCTTGCAACTAATGGTACGATGATAAATAATAGAAAACAGAACATTTTATCGAAATTTTAACTGACAACCAACCCAGTGTCTGGTGGGTACTACTGTGGCTGTACAGCATATACAGATGTAGAGGGAGTAGCCAAAACCTAAACTCAAGAGAAAGAACTGTCACATAGAATGAACAAGCAATCAAATAGATGTAAAAGCCTTAACTTTACCTTCCTATCCAAGTACAGACCCAGGATAGTTCTTTATATTAAGTATTACATATCATTTAGCTGATGCTTTTATCCAAAGAAACTTCCAATAAGTGCATTCAACCATGAGGGTACAAACCCAGAACCGCAAGAATCATGTAAGTACACTGCTTAAAAAAAGCCAAACTACAAAGTCCTGCATGTAAGTGCAACATACAAGTTCAACTTGACATAGACCATCTTCTTAGCCAAGGTGTTGTCAGAAGAGATGTGTTTTTAACCTGGGGCAAAATATATGTAGACTTTCTGCTGTCCTGATGTCAATAGGGTGCTCATTCCACCATTAAGGAGCCAGGACAGCAAACAGTCGTGATTTTGTTGAGTGGCTAGATGTCCCTCGCATTGAGGGAGCAGCAAGCCAATTGGCCAATGCAGGGAGTGGACGGGCTGGGGTGTAAGGTTTAACCATGTCCTAGATGTAAGCTGGACCTGATGGGGTTACCTGTAGAGTAAAATCTACTGGGATTCATCCCTCAGCAGTTCTCAACTGTATGGGGTCCATAAGTCTCTTCTAGTCTGTGGTTTTTGTTTTCAGGGCAGCAGCATTGCTGTGTTGTTTCACTGCTGTCATTGTTGTCTCTCAACTGCAGAAATAGATAGACAGCCTTCCTGCTTGAGGTTATGTTTGAAGATTCATTCATCATTAATTGTCTGTTAGAGCACGTGTGAGCTATGAGCTTGTATGTGTCTCTTGTAAGGTGAAAGGTCAAGTAAGCTGAATTATGTTGCTCCTCGAAAAAATATTGGAACAATTATAATATGAATTATAATGTAATTCTGCATTTAATAGTGTGCCTACTAATACAATTTTTAGCTGCAAAATAGTGCTGCATGTGCCTTTGTAACAGAGGCCTCTGATCACCGTGGGTCCCTCATCAGTGACACACAGGATTGCCAGGTACAGCTCTTAAGTTTGTCTATATGTCTTCACAGACACACAGACACACATACACAGGCACTGGTCTTCTTTTCAGCCGTCATCTCACCTTCTGAGCTCCTGTTTGCCTATAGATTGTAAGTCCAAACATAACGATTGATCTGTGCATTGGTATCTTTCATGTGGTGGAGCCAATAGAGCAGAGCATGGTCCTAACAGAGGGTGAATGTGTGTCTCAGGAGGTAATAACGAAGAGTGTCGACCGCCCACCGGATTGCAGGGCACTCCTATGTACAGTACTAGGTGGGTGACTCCCCTTACCTGCTGGGACAAAGCCCCCAGCCTCCTGTTCAACGCGTCAGTCTGCAAGATAAAGGTCTCTGACCTGTTTAACCCGCTCAAATGCCTGCTGGCACTGCTCTGACCACTGGACCAGATCTGAGGCACCTTTTTAGGTCAGATCGGTCAATGGGCTGGTCAGGTCAGTGAACAAAGTGATGAACCACCTGTAGTAACCTGCCAGCCCCAACAACTGCCTCACCTCTTATTTGGACTTGAGCTGCGGGCAGGCTGCGATTGCTGCAGTTATGTCCACCTGCCTGCCACCCAAGTGGTACCCCAGATACTGTACCTCCCTCCATCCAACTGCACACTTCTTCGGGTTGGCCGTGAGCCCAGCCTTCCTCAGTGACTACAGCTCTGCGTCCACCTGCCCAGATGTCACTGTGGATAATGACGTCGTCCAGGTAGGCAGCAGAATATTCATCCATGAGGCACTGAAAAGTGGCATGGCCCCAAACAACCCGAATGGAAGAGGAGAAGGACGTTTTCTCCTTAGACTCTGGAGACATGGAGAAATCTGCCAATAGCCTTTGGTCAAGTCCAGTGAGATAAAAAAACATAAAATGTATTGCAGATCCAGGAGCTCATCGCCCGGGGCATTGGATATGTGTCAAACCGTGAAACATCTTCCACCTTGCATTAGTCCACAGAGAACCATATAGATCCATCCTTCTTGGCTACAATAATGGTGGGGCTACAAGATGCACTGTTGGACTCTTCTATTACCCCCATCTCGAGCATAGCTGTCAATTCTTTTGTCAACGACTTTTCATTTGTGTTCAGGAAGACGATAGGGTTGTTGCGATTATCCTACCTTAAGCATGGCACCATTAAATGGTATGCTTTAGGGCATTCAATACATCTCAATCAGAAAAATATTGAATAATAAAAAATATTAGTTTTAAATAATAACTTTAATGTATTAAAGTTACCTCGGGGCACCACCCTTCAAAGGAAGGGAAAAGATAGGCAATTTAATGATTAAGTGAAATTACTGAATACCAATTTGTAACTCTGATTAATAATTAAATTAATAACTATAACCAAAATGACCACATCAATAGCTAGCAAAGTTGAAGGATATGGAGTTCTTGACAGTGTAGAGGTTGGCAAAATTCACACTTATGCAAAATTAATATAGACAACATGTGTATTAACAAAAACATTTATTATGAAACTAATAAAAGTGTAAACACAAACTAACTAAAGGTGTACTAGTATTTGTGTGTGTGTGAGAGAGTGAGTGAGTGAGATTCAAAATGGTGGCTGGCCACTATGAAGACAAAAGGCCCCCTGGAGTGGTGGGACCATGTGGCTGAGATCACATGTATGTGTTAAGTTTGTGGAGATGAGTGTGTGAGGTGTTGGTGCCAAGTTAGAGAAAGTAGTTAGATGCATGCAAAGAAAGTGAACAGCATAACAGAACTAACATTAGTTTTCAAATAACATGTTTCCAAATATCAAAACAACACAAGTCAAACATATAAACATCACATGAAATAGAATATAACAGTCCTTTGCTTAGCCAAGTGTAATTACAAAGCCCAGTGGTGTTACACATCCATGAAAAAGGGAAAGGTCCTTTTTGAAGTTCAGATGAGTGGTCTTGTTGGTTTGTTTGCTCCTGTTGTGTATCTACTGGTCAGACCTTGTGTTGTGGCCAATGGCTTGTGCTGAAGTTCTTAGGCAGGCTCTCGTGTCGCTGCCTTTTGGAAGGTTTTAGCAGTCTGCTCCAGGCAGGCCTGTTTGAAGTTGGAGAGCTTGCAGGGAGCGGTACCTACTCTTCTGGGAGAGGTCAGTAGGAAAGAGATAGAGAGGGGAAGCTCAGCTTTTATTGGCCTCGTGACCTCATGAGTCATGGGGCACAATGCGACCAATAGTGGTTGAGAGTTGTGTCCAGGAGGAGTTTTAACACCTATGTGTGAAGATGAAGCACCCTGGGAGACTGAGTTCTGGAAGCTCTCCTTTGTCTTCAGAACAAAGGAGACATGTGGTCATGTAGGCCAACTATGTTTCACAAATACTAGGTCCAAACAGGGTCATGAATGTACAGTCACCCCGGGGGAAGTCTCAACGTGATGTATAAGTTTTGTGTGTTCTGGCAAGGGGGAGAACACATCAGAAAAATGCTGCTGCAGCATGGCGCTCTCTGGGCAGGGGAGAGATGGTCATCACAAGGGAGTGAGGCCGTATTGATGGAATTTGGTATCTCAGGCCCCAACTCATCTCTTTCACTCACCAGTGTCGCCAGAGAAATGGGCTCTGCCTCTCCCAATGCTTTTAGGAGGTGGAATATTTGTGTGGCTCCACCCCTGTCAGACCACACAAACTCATAATCAACATCCCCCACTTGCTGTGTGACACTGGCGACGTGGCCACTTGGCGAGTCATTTAGAACTAGAAGTGGGGAGCAATACAAATACTTTTTCTCCTGGTGTCTCAGCCTGGCTCCTTTGTTGTACAGGCACTGTTGACGTGCCTGGGCTTGGAGCAAATTCTCACTTGATAACTGTCCAAGTGTGTGGAGTTTTGCTTGCAGGTCCAGGACATACAGCGTTACATTCTTACTAGGGCTTGGACCTTCCTACCAGTCAATCCAGTATGCCCCTTGGTTATCTGCCTAATGGTAGTTCAAAGTCGAAAAATCCCATGGAGGCCTGGGGCACCTCCCGCACTGCAAAAAATAGAGGGTCAAGCCATTTATCCCAATTATGTCCGTCTTCGTGAATGAACTTACGGAAAATTGATTTAAAAGTCTTATTCAGCCGCTCGACAAGACCATCAGTCTTTGGGTGGTACAGTAATCCATACAGTTCCCTTAGTGTTCGTGACATGAATGAGGTGCCTTGGTCAGGATCTCTTTCTGGATCCCTAATCGGGAGATGACCTGAAACAGTGCCCCAACACTCTTTGCAGAGATGTGCGCAGCGTCACTACCTGGCGCCGGAGAGTGGCCGTAGGGAGGTTCCTTCTGTGAGGGGCTGGAATTGGATGGCTGGTGCGGGCGAGCAGCTGCCCCAAATTGCCCCTGACAGCTGTGTTTGGAAAGTGTATGAATGGTAGGTGATAGTAAAAACACTGCGTATATAAGCGCTTTACGAATGTGTGTGTAAATGGGTGAATAAGATAAGATGTACCATTATTGAAGACTTTGAAGAGGAAATTCAGAATTGATACAACAGCACAAGAAAGTTGCGGTGCAATGGTAAGAATAAAATAGACTTAAAAATAGAAATACTATATACAAGTTTTTCCTCTGGACCTCTGGGATTGTTCTGCTGCAGCCTCCCCTCGATCCTGTGGCAGTCTTTAACCCTCCTTTGCTCCCTCTAGAACAGGAGAGCTGTATAATGCTATTTATTTATTTATATATAGTGATTTAGTACTTACTTTTCATGTAAATGAGACAATTGAGCTTGCCTCTCAGATACTTGAAGGTACACTCTGGGTGGTTGCCCCCAGGGTTGCTCTCAGTCTTGGTGGCAGCCACAGTGGAGAGTCCTGATTCACACAGGTGTGTAGTTGTGAATGGCGAGTGGGGATGTT